GTGCCAGGATAACAACCTCTCCCTCAACGTGACCAAGACAAAGGAGATGATTGTGGACTACAGGAAAAAAAGGAGGACTGAGCACACCCCCATTCTCATCGACGGGGCTGTAGTGGAACAGGTTAAGAGCTTCAAGTTCCTTGGTGTCCACATCACCAACAAACTATCGTGGTCCAAACACACCAAGACAGTCGTAAAGAGGGCACGACAAAGCCTATTCCCCCTCAGGAGACTGAAAAGATTTGGCATGGGTCCTCAGATCCTCAAGAAATTCTACAGCTGCACCATCGAGAGCATCCTGACTGGTTGCATCACCGCCTAGTATTGCAACTGCTTGGCCTCCGACCGCAAGGCACTACAGAGGGTAGCTCGTACGGCCCAGTACATCACTGGGGCTAAGCTTCCTGCCATCCAGGACCTCTATACCAGGCGGTGTCAGAGGAAGGGCCTCAAAATTGTCAAAGACTCCAGCCACCCTAGTCATAGACTGTTCTCTCTGCTACCGCACGGCAAGCGGTACCGGAGTGCCAAGTCTAGGTCCAAAAGACTTCTCAACAGCTACCCCCAAGCCATAAGACTCCTGAACAGCTAATCATGGCTACTCTGACTATTTGCACTGCCCCCCACCCACACCCCCCACCCCATCTTTTTACGCTGCTGCTACTCTGTTAATGATTTATGCATAGTCACTTTAACTCTAACCACATGTACATATTACTTCAACTACCTCAACTAGCCGGTGCCCCCGCACATTGACTCTGCACCGGTACCCCCCTGTATATATATTCTCCCTACTGTTATTTTATTTTACTTCTGCTCTTTTTTTCTCAACACTTTTTTTGTTGTTGTTTTATTTGACTTTTTTTATTAAAAATAAATGCACTGTTGGTTAAGGGCTGTAAGTAAGCATTTCACTGTAATGTCTGCACCTGTTGTATTCGGCGCATGTGGCCAATAACATTTGATTTGATTTTAAATGAATTTGGTTTAAGCTGGAAATCTCTGCCAGAGAAGCCTTTCATGGCGACACAAATGCAAAACGAAACAATTCTCCATGGAGACGTGGACTATCGATCAAGGTCAAGGGCAAGCTCTATTATCCATGAAGTTGGACAGGTGTTAATTTATTACTCCACACTTTCAACTTCAGCCTTGATGTCAGCCAGGGAGGGAGGGGAGCGAGCAAGAGCGAAAAATGCAAATGACTGCCAGATAAGTTAATGTGTCTTTGCTGCAGAGGGACTGATTGCGGCGAAGGAAGGGAGACATTCCTGAGACAGCCAGAGAAATCATTAATCCAAGGTTGACCTGGCTGCTTTGTGCCCTGCCTACAGCAGTTCGTTATCCAAGGGAATATACAGTGGGGAGAACAAGTATTTGATACACTGCCGATTTTGCAGGTTTTCCTACTTACAAAGCATGTAGAGGTCTGTAATTTTTATCATAGGTACACTTCAACTGTGAGAGATGGAATCTAAAACAAAAATCCAGAAAATCACATTGTATGATTTTTAAGTAATTAATTTGCATTTTATTGCATGACATAAGTATTTGATCACCTACCAACCAGTAAGAATTCCGGCTCTAACAGACCTGTTAGTTTTTCTTTAAGAAGCCCTCCTGTTCTCCACTCATTACCTCTATTAACTGCACCTGTTTGAACTCGTTACCTGTATAAAAGACACCTGTCCACACACTCAATCAAACAGACTCCAACCTCTCCACAATGGCCAAGACCAGAGAGCTGTGTAAGGACATCAGGGATCAAATTGTAGACCTGCACAAGGCTGGGATGGGCTATAGGACAATAGGCAAGCAGCTTGGTGAGAAGGCAACAACTGTTGGCGCAATTATTAGACAATGGAAGACGTTCAAGATGACGGTCAATCACCCTCGGTCTGGGGCTCCATGCAAGATCTCACCTCGTGGGGCATCAATGATCATGAGGAAGGTGAGGGATCAGCCCAGAACTACACGGCAGGACCTGGTCAATGACCTGAAGAGAGCTGGGACCACAGTCTCAAAGAAAACCATTAGTAACACACTACGCCGTCATGGATTAAAATCCTGCAGCGCACGCAAGGTCCCCCTGCTCAAGCCAGCGCATGTCCAGGCCCGTCTGAAGTTTGCCAATTACCATCTGGATGATCCAGAGGAGGAATGGGAGAAGGTCATGTGGTCTGATGAGACAAAAATAGAGCTTTTTGGTCTAAACTCCACTCGCCGTGTTTGGAGGAAGAAGAAGGATGAGTACAACCCCAAGAACACCATCCCAACCGTGAAGCATGGAGGTGGAAACATCATTCTTTGGGGATGCTTTTCTGCAAAGAGGACAGGACGACTGCACCGTGTTGAGGGGAGGATGGATGGGGCCATGTATCGCGAGATCTTGGCCAACAACCTCCTTCCCTCAGTAAGAGCATTGAAGATGGGTCGTGGCTGGCTCTTCAAGCATGACAACGACCCGAAACACACAGCCAGGGCAACTAAGGAGTGGCTCCGTAAGAAGCATCTCAAGGTCCTGGAGTGGCCTAGCCAGTCTCCAGACCTGAACCCAATAGAAAATCTTTGGAGGGAGCTGAAAGTCCGTATTGCCCAGCGACAGCCCCGAAACCTGAAGGATCTGGAGAAGGTCTGTATGGAGGAGTGGGCCAAAATCCCTGCTGCAGTGTGTGCAAACCTGGTCATGACCTACAGGAAACGTATGATCTCTGTAATTGCAAACAAAGGTTTCTGTACCAAATATTAAGTTCTGCTTTTCTGATGGATCAAATACTTATGTCATGCAATAAAATGCAAATTAATTACTTAAAAATCATGCAATGTGATTTTCTGGATTTTTGTTTTAGATTCCGTCTCTCACAGTTGAAGTGTACCTATGATAAAAATTACAGACCTCTACATGCTTTGTAAGTAGGAAAACCTGCAAAATCGGCAGTGTATCAAATACTTGTTCTCCCCACTGTATATGCACAATAAGGGAGCTAGCAGTCACTGTGAGCGCTGGCACCATCGTTTTACAATGACTGAGTGGCAGCTCCTTTTGAGCTATCCCGAAGACAAACTGGCCTGGATCAGCAGACAATCAGCTGGCTGATGAGGGTTTGGATGTGTGGGCCCGCAAGGACGTTTTCATCATGAAGAACTTGGCGTTCTGCTGCGTGTGGCCCACTCACTGCTGGTGAATTGTCGTCGTCCCCCCTTCCCAACCCCCCACCACCTCATCATACTGTATGTCTGCCATTGAGAGAAATCCGTGGTGCTGACATGCTCTGCATTTGTGTCTGTAGATGACCACATTCCTCCAAAACGGATGGATCAGCACCTTGCAGGTTTCTCCAGGGTTTAAGTATGATTCGAACCAGCGAAACATCTGGAAGTCAGCATCTGTTTTTCGGCATTATGCAAAAGCAAGGCTGCGATTGGTGGATAGAGACTCAGGGATGGAGGTTTGTGTCCCAATAAGCAGAGAGGGGGCACCACTGTGAACCATGTAATATGCCCTGTAGAAATGTGCAAATGTTTTTGTTTGTTCTTATTAGCGCCTTGGTACACATTAATTGATAATGTGGCTGTTACAGGATCCTAGGCTTATTGTATTTTTTACAAAAAGTTTTGTCCTCCAGAACAGGGTTTCCAAAACTCAGTCCTGGGGGCCCCCATGGGTGCACGTTTTGATGTTTGTCCTAGCACTACACAGCTGATTCAAATAACCCACTCATCATCAAGCTTTGATGATTTTAATCAGTGCTAGGGCAAAACCCAAATCGTGCACCCAGTGGGGGCCCCAGGACCGAGTTTGGGAAACCCTGCTCCAGAAAGTAGTCTCTTACAACTTTCTCCCACTGAGCTTTGTCGATAGCACCAGCTAAGTATGCCAGCAATGTTGTTGAGAGCTGTAGCAACACTTTTGCATGACTATATATATTTTTTAAATGCTGTAAAAAATATGATCTACTGTATATACTGACCAGGGAAGCCCCCATTTTGTTATAGACAGAAGCCTGTAACATGACAGACTAATCGGCATGTCCAGCCCCTCAATTATATCAGCCAATCATGGAAGGATCCTGTATTTCGCCTTATATAGCTCAGTGCTTTCTCCTAGGCTAAACTAGGGTCATAATTGAAATGTGTTATTTATATTTACAGATCACATACGAGTTTGTTATTAAGGCACTTGAAAGTTCACATGTTCAAGTAGGCATTTCAAACAGGCCTCCTGTAAAGTAGGAACTAACGTCAAATGCCCAGCTTGAGGAATTTTGACACGTATACAGACTTCATTATTCAAAACATTATCTTTACATTTGTGGTGAGGAAAACAAAATGTAACATGGCCCATTGGTTTCCATTCATTTTGGTCCAATGAGGCTAATGCAAGCCAGAGGCTGTTGGAACATAGCTAACACAAAATATGAACTTAAAAACTGTCTGGGTTCATCAAAAACAGCTTAGGCATGGATAACATGTATATTTGTATTTGATCTGAACTATAGGTTATTTTGAGGTAAAGACTTTGAGATTAAGTTTTGACAAGTGAAAAGTATTAGTGCTTTGAATTCACTAATAGGGAATCAGGGAAGTGTTAAGAAACTCAAAGGGAGTTTAAGGGTCACACCAGTTCAGGAGAAGTTGTAAAAGTGTTGTACAAAAACAGATAACTAATCTAATATGTGGGTGGTTGGCTTTGATTTAATAATTTATAGTTCTGTTAAATAATGAAGTGGATATGATGATATTTTCATCAATACCTTAAGTAAATCTCTTCACAGATATCTTCCTCTGACCTTGAGTAGATTGCCCTTGGTGCTATGTGGAGCACATATGCTTATTCAAAAACATCCTTAAAATGTTACTAGTTTTCTGTAACATGGCAAATTACTACCGGCCTTTGAAACAGTTCCCTTCATAACTAAGCGCTTCTTTGTGTTTTGTGTCCTCCTTTCTTTGCAGGACTGGCAGTTCACCAGATTATTACAATCACTGTGTCTCTCATTATGGTCATCGCAGCCTTGATAACTACACTTGTCCTTAAAAACTGGTAGGAAAGATTCCTTTACTTTGCAATTACTTCCTGACACACACACACAACACATCGCTTTTGAAAGTGGCAATTAAACTTTTACCAGAGCCACTCATCCACAGTGGTACAAGGTATGATTTTATGTTTGTTTCTTGTCTTTGGTACGTGTTTTTGTAGCTGTGTACAGTCGGGGAATGGCCGTCACAGTAGCCATCAGCGGAAGATTCACCAGCAGGAGGAGAGCTGTCAGAACCTGACCGACTTCACCCCTGCCCGCGTGCCCAATAAGGTGGACATCTTCACCGCCTACAACGACAGCCTGCAGTGCTCGCACGAGTGTGTGCGCACCGCCGTGCCCGTCTACACGGACGAGATGATCCAGCAGACCCCTATATACAAGACCACCTACAACGGAAATAGGTACGCCAGCTTTAAATCGCTCTCAGCGCTAGGTTTCTGGGTCAGTTTGATCACTGCTTGTGTAAGTGCTTTCCTCTCACTTTTGGGTTAGTTATTATGAGCAGTGTTGGGGTCGTTACTCAAAAAAGGTAATATATTACCAATTACTCGTTACTTCTTTCAAACAACAACACATTACTTATTACTCCCTGGGAAAAGTAATTAATTACACTCGTTATATTACTTTTGCGTTACCCCCCAAAACGTTGCGCGTCCTCACGCAATGTCAAAGTTACGTTACGTAGGCCTATACACAAACACAAGTAGCCTAATAATGAGCGACACAAAAAAAGAGGGGGATTCTACCGCGGATAAGGGCAGCATTTCCTGTGCTACAAGCTTGTTTAGCTCTCACAGCCTGTCCTCCAGAATGATTCAAATCAAGCCTTGATTGTTTGGATGAGGTAGGCCTACAGTCATCTTCAGCAGTAGCGGTCAGGCCTTGGGGGTCTTTCGCTTCGAGTTTTGTCTTGGCGTGTTGCTTTTGAAGGTGCTTCAAGAGATTGGAGGTTGTGTTTCTAGCAGTGGAGAGGTGTTTCTCTCCTGGGCACAGTTTACATTTTACAGTTATATTGTTGTCATTTTGTCATCCTACCAAATCAAAGTAATGGGAGTACTTCCACGCTGAGAAACAATGTTTTAAACGCTTCTGCAATTTTTCAACTAACACGGTCAGTAGTAGGGCGTGCGTGCTTAAACAGGAACTTGGTGAGAGGACGATAGAATAATCATCACAAATAATAACTTTAATAGGAAGGGAATGATAACAAAAGTAACACAGTAATAATGACCTACTGTATCTTTGATCAATAACTGTAATATTGTTTCTCAAATTGGAACAGTACTCCATTAAGTTTCTCCTGGTAAAATCACGTATTTGGGAAAAGGTCCTGGCCCTAAATGGCGTAAATCCCCTTTTTGTAAGTGGTATTGTTTTCCTTGCGAAATACCTCTATAACAGTGTCTCCTGGACCCAGGTTCTCACTATCTTTGTGTCTCAATCCTTTGTCCTACAGACCTTCTCCCATTGAAAGGCAGCTGATTCCTGTGGCCTTTGTGTCAGAGAAGTGGTTCGAGATCTCCTGCTGACTAACTGAAGGCTTTTTTACATCACATGGATGGAACAGACTTCCTGAATTTATGCTCTGGTGGGTACTATGCCACTTTCCCCCCTGCAAATCCTTTCCTGAGCCTTCCCCACCTTGATCCCTGTGGTGATAGTGTCCCAGTTTGGGAATAGAAGGGAAATGGCTTATGGTTGTTATTTCGGCGAGGATTTTTCACAAACTGCCCGGAAAAATGTAATTTAACGGCAAGATCACTAAAGGTCATTCATTAGCCATTATAATACAATTATGTTTGATTCATGCCCTTCGACAACCTAACCTTTATGAAAAATATTACGCATTTATGGGGTTGTGGCCCTCATTCATGCGGCCAGTGAAATATTGTTTCAATGTTTTGTTATGTGAAAGAGCCACTTTCACTTGACTTTCCTGCATTTTTTATGCATTGCCGATTAGCTGGACTGCCTCCATTTGAAATTCCAAGCGTGAAAGTTAAACACATGCTCTGGCCCAGTGTGTGGCTAAAAGCCCAGGGGGCCACACGTCTGTTATTGACCCAGATTTGAAAAGGAATAGAACGCCTGCAGGAACATTAGCTGGAGTAAAAGGTCCAAGACCATCGTCTGTACGGACATTGGTCTCAGTCAGAGAAAGAACTAAAACGCCCCAGTTCTTCCTTCCAGCACTGCAGTCTTAAAGACCATGGAGAGCCATGGTAGTTAGATGGGCATAAACAGTGTAATTGCAGTGTAGGTGCACATTGTGACATGGTACTTACAACTGGCAGTTATGGCACATACTGTAGGCTCCCGAGTGGCGCAGCGGTCTAAAGCACTGCATCTCAGTGCTTGAGGCGTCACTACAGACCACCTGGTTCGATTCCAGGCTGTATCACAACCAGCCGTGATTGGGAGTCCCATAGGGCAGCGCACAATTGGCCCAGCGTCGTCCGGGTTTGGCCGGTGTAGGCCGTCATTGTAAATAAGGATTTGTTCTTAACTGACTTGCCTAGTTAAAAAATGAATGTGTTCAATGTTGAGTTTGACACATGCTTATTTTGCTTTAACTACTGCTATTGGTTTTCTACAGCTCTTCTGACAATTTCATTTACTAATGTCTTGATTTTTCTCCACAGGATCCTTTGGTAAACTTTTCCAACCAAGAGAAAGAAGCGACTCAAACGAAGGCCAATTTTGTAAAGTAGTGGGAACTCTCTCTCTGGACACAGATTAAGATATTTATTTTTCTATAAATGATGACAAACCAAGCAGCCATACCGCTGCCACTCCAAACTATTTTCCAGAGACCTGTGTTCATTTAGATATCTAGTTAGAGTTAATATATAACTATATTACTGGATGTGCCGGAGAAGACCATCTACGTCAGCGTCACCTTGAAGAGGACTAGGTTTCTTGGAGAGCTAGGAGACTTGGAGGAGCTGCTCTCAATGGAAAAAGCTGAGCTGTATTACTGAACAATGTGCCAATTACGCCACTATGTGCCATAATCTGTACAGAAGGAACTTTAGACAACAATTCATGGACAATATTAACCCTGTATCAACCTAACTCCATCTTTTTTTAAAGAAAAGTGAGAAAAAAAAAATGTTTAAAAGTATTTGAATATGTTTTCTGAAATAGTTGTAAGAATTGTGTTCCAAAGTCCAAAAAATATTTATAATATGAAGCACTATTCATTGAGGGCAAGTGGGGAAAGAAAAGAAAACAGTACATGCTTTAGTCAACACCTACATTTAATGCATTGTTACTATGTCCCATTTTAAAACCAGAGTAGTCTGTCTATTTTTATACACGAAAAGAGGTCAGTCACAACCCAAACAGTGCAGTTCCCATGCCACATGATGTTTGGACAGCGGAACACCATTAACAGTCCAATCAGAGATTGAAGCAAAGGGAATTCAAAACACTCATCGAATCCAAGCCCAGATTAATTACCCTTTCGGAATGTCCTTTTTCTCAGAGGTTTTGTATTATGCTTAATACACAATGGTTGTCGAACATTGCATACCATATGTCCTGTTGTGTTCAGTTCTATCTGAATCAGGGTAGCTAAGGCAAACAGAGAGGATTAGCAGTGTGTTTACATATATACTGCCTCAGGTCAGTGTCCAATACACAAGTCTTCATTCCATTTTCCATCCCAAGCATTATTCACAAGGGATAAGACATTATGTGTTACTATGAGTGGTGGTAGGATATGAGCGGTACCGCACAAGGGTGGAATTTAGAATTAACTTGTAAGAATATAATTATTCTAACTCTGCAATTACAGTAAGTGAGAAATATTGAATATCTCCTCTCAACTATATATACATTTTCAGTGTTTACCTACTGTTTCTCATAGTCTAATTGCAAAAATAATAATAATTAGTCTTAAAACAACCAAGGGTCAGATTTATCAAACAATGCTTCTAAGGCCACTAATAAGTGTCATTTGTGTGTATTATTGGGGGAATAATAATACCTTTTAGTGTTGCATTTATCAAGCCCATGCTAATTGGAATTATCATATTATCATCAAACACCTTTACAAATGGTGCCCTGTGTGAGAAGTATTTACAATCGGAAGTAGTCTTTTCTATACCATAATCTCAGAAATGCATGCAAATCAAGAAATGGAAATGAACAGAACATCTGAATAAAAATGGTAAAGTATCCCTCCAAATTAGGTCCAAATTAGCTGTATATCTTGTGCTGTGAATGCAAACACAACCATATATAACAATGTTCCTCCCTAAAGCTCACTTATATGAAGGAATACACTCCCTCTTTCATGTCAAGTGCAGTACAGTGAAAAACAGGCATGTTCTTTCCTGGTTCCTGAGTGTTGCTGATGGATGCGAATTTGCGGAATATCAGCCTCGTCAAAACCTCCAGCATCATCAATGAGATGCGGAACTAGGGGGATTAGGAGCAGCCAATCGGAATCGAGAAGACTGGGCCACAGGTAATACATTAATTAATTGATTAGTTAATACAATTCCACTATTAGTGAGACAGGACACAAGGACATAACACAAAACATTTCATTACGCTAGTGGGTTGGTAGAAAGCACAAAAAAGAACAACACGTGATTGCAATTATTCTGTGTCGACAGCAATATGTACAGATTTAAAGATGGACTGGATTCTGGCCCGGGTGTGGGCTGAGATCTGCATTTACTCAATGAGATGGACAAGATTCAGGCTTCAGCTATTCTGTTCCCTTAGCTCAATGTAGAGGTGGACCCTTTTTCAGATCCTAAATCACTAAATCATAAGCTTATGTAACTGGAGGGGTAAAGAACTGACCTTGGATCAGTGGCTGTGATGCAACTGTGACTCCTAGTACACCACTCTCCACTCACACGCCAAAACACCATGAATGACCATGCCAATTCATCCCAACATGTACGCTGAGACCAAGTTGCGTCAACATAACATATATTTTTTGAATGAAGAGTGTTATCTTAATAGTCAAGAGGGTTACTAAACTGTATATTATACATGTGTAAATGTATTTTCTATATATTTACTTCTATTTGTGTACAGGTATGTTCTATTTTTAAAGACCTGTCTCTTTTTGGGAAAGGTTCGGCTAGGTCGGGGATAGTGTCTTTGTTTACATGTGTAACTACTGTATTTCTTTCATAACACAAACTAACCTTGTGCCAAGCTTCCTACCTGCACTTTCAAGCAGTACCTGTATTATATATTTAACTAACCAATACAATACTTAAATAGACACTGCAATATTTCACATACTGAAAAAAGTTGTGAGAAGTAAGAAAGCTACGGCCCAGGAAGAGAAGGTCTTTTGATTGTATACTATGATGAGATCGGCGTGCTGATGCTTGGGGTTTGGTTGGTAGAAGATGCGCAATTATCAAATGCTGACACACCATTTTCATATGAAATCTATTTGCTTCTGGAAATATGATTAGTCATGGTGAAAAGGGGAAGTAATGTAAACCCAACAATAATTGTTATGAGAGAAAGTTAGACTGAGTTTATTTTTTGTTCATTTTTGTTGTAATATTTATAACTACATGTAACCACTCTAGAGACCTAGATATATGTGTTATTTTTCTCTTTAAAGGCAGGGAAAACTATTAGATCTATGACCTCATACTATTTAGCATGAGTTGAAACCACATATAAATTATCGGAAAGAAGTACAGTAGTAAACAGAACAAGATTAAGGGTTCAAGGGGTTTTTAGGGTATATATTTCACTCCCCTTTGCATTTGCAGAGAACAAGTACCGTATTTTCCGCACTATAAGGCGCACCGGAGTATAAGCCGCAGCAGCTAAATTGAATGATATTGAATGATGTGTACATATATAAGCCGCACTGGACTATAAGCCACAGGTGTTTTAATGTTTAATTACCATATGTAAGGGTTCGTGCACAGAGGGGATTGTCGGGAAAGAGACAAACTGTCTCGCTCTCATAATGTCTGTCTGTCTTGCTCTCGTTCTGTCTCTCGTTCTGTCTCTCGTACCACTCTCGGTTCCACTTTTACTACCTGTCTCACTCTTTTCCGGCCTCCAGCTTTTCCTGCTGGAGCCCGCCGCTTAAAGGTGGGGGGCGCGGACCGGTCATAGAGCCCATAGAGTTAAAGTTGGTGGACTGTAACCTGTAAAATCCATAGATTTAGGAGGTCTTCTAGTGGCCATTAGCTGTAAAAATCCATAGATTAGCCGCACTGTTATATAAGCCGCAGGGTCGAAAAATGGGAAAAAAGGCGCGGCTTATAGTCCGAAAATTACGGTACATGAACAAGGATTTTTTATGTTTTGGTTTGTTTTGGTTATGCTGGTACTGAAATGTATTGGGTATGTACTTATTATGTCTTTCTTTCATATGATGATGACTGAAACACCACTGATGTTTTGCCACAAAATTCTCCACTTTCATGAACATCTTCATGATCAGATTTTTAGATACAGCATGGTTGTTTAAAGCCAGCTACATACTACACTATTTTCCCCTCAATATTCTAAAGGAAGTTTGGGACAT